AACCCGCCGCTGGCCTGCAGCCCTCGGGGCCTCCCGCTGATGGGGTCGGTGGTTTGGGTTGGGTTGCAGCTGGGTTGCTTTTTGGGTTTTTTGCTCGGTCTCCTGAGGCGCGTGCAGCTCTCACAGGTTTGCCTAGGATTTTTGTGCAAGTTTCTGGTGTTCCCGAAGCTGGGCAGTGATGTGGGGGTTCATGGTTTTGTTTGTTGTTGTTTTTTTTGTCGCAAATTCACAAGTAAAGCTCACTTAAAGTGTTTGGAAGTCGCTGAGCCTTTAACAGTGTTTCTGTAAACCTTGCAAATGTGAGGTGGCCTGTTTTCCTTTGGTGCTGTTTCCCTCTGTTTCCTTTTTTTTCCCAGCCGTAACAGATGGGCTCTCAAGACAGGTTTCCTTCAGTACTAGTGAAAGAAACTTGCTATCTGTAAAGGTACAGTTGTAGTAAGAGTGTTGTTACAGCAATCTGCAGTCACCCTTTAGGACTAAATTTTTATGTGGGAGGGACTAGGAGATACCCAGCTTTGCTTGATAATGTTTCAGCGTTCAAGTACCAGCTGATATGGGTTTGTTCTTGGTCAGTGTGGACTGTAGCTCTGTTACCTGGAATACAGAGGGGGTGCTTGTGAGCTGAGACAATACACTTTAACGGCTTTTGAGGCCTTAACTGATCTAACTTGATAGTTTAGGATTATGGCGGCAGCAGGAGGAAGTGCTTTAGTTACATCAGATATTTTCTAACTGCTTTTTTTTAAAAAAAAAAAAGTTTGGACACTGTTCAAAACAAAAGCTTACAGAAGTCATGTGTACTTTGCATGATTCCTCTGTTTTTTTCTGTCAAAGTTGCCAGTTTAACTGTATACACACACACAGAGATACTGGGCTAGTAAAAAAATATCCTGGGTATTTTTGTTAGGTGTCCCTATTAAACAGCGTCTTTTATCAGTTCATAGAAGATAATAGACACGGGTAGCAGACCAGTCTGTTTCCAGTCAGTTAGAAACAATACAACACAACAACTGTATTGTGGTGTTCTCACAGGGATCAGCTTATAGGGAGTGACTCTATCTCAGATTCCTTTGAGTGGATCTACTTAAGGCAGAACAGTGATAGTGGTGTAACTCTGCTAGTCTCTCATTCACAGGCCTTGCAATTGATCCCCATATACTTCTGATAATGATGTGAAGAAATTCACAAAACAAAATGCTTCGCTTATACACCCTTGCTTTGTGAAGTGGATAACTTTCACTACTCTTCTGTAGATACACTGTATGTTTTGCATGCATTGTCTTTGCATGTATAGCCTTTCCTGGTTAGTGCCATGCTTTGTAGCCTGAATCAGGCCACTCATGTTCGTAGTTTATTTTGTGCGTGTGGCCATGAGGTGTATTCTCTGCAAAGCAAAGGAATTGCTTTTGATGCCTTGCTGTCCTGTGTGGGGACGTTCTGTACAAATTTAAGAAAATGGGGTGCAAGAAGTAAAGTGATAATAAAGCCACCCCTGTGTCTGGCGTATAGCAGAGCTTCTGGAATTGTGCTGGACTCTTCCTGAATGAAGGGTTAAAGACTGTAAATGAGTGTAGGGATTTGAGAATGGTCCTACAATCTGTCCTTTTTATTAGTGTTAGATGTGGCATTACTTACTGAATATAGATTTTTGTAATGAACTTTGTATTTTTTCTGAGGTCTCACCTATATGGCGGTTTTTTAGGGTGTGTTTTTCACTATTTTCACCATTCCAGCCTTCTCTTCAGCTTGGAACCTGAGACTCTAGAACCCAAATCCCATCTTATAGAATGACAGCTATCTCAAAATTTATCTGTCTGGGCAAAATTTCCTCCCGTTTACATGTTTTTGTAGACATCTGGGGTTGGGGTTTTTTGAGTAAAAATCTGGTTGCTGGCCAAACTGTGGATTTTGTAATTTTTGTAATGTAATTATTCAGGTTGTGATAGCAAAATCCTGTACTGTGACTACAGCTGATTTTGTTGCAGGCCAATTATTTTGATCAGATCTCCAAAAGTTGAGTGAAATCTCTCACGTTATTTCAAGCTGCAGTGTTGTTCTTTTCTGCATTTCTAGACTATCTTTCACTGGTGTTAATGAGCACTGAGGTCCAAGCATGCATTTTTTTTAAAGCATATGGGCCTATTCTGAAAAAAAATCCCCTTGTTGCTGTAGAGATGGCTGGAGAGGTTTGAGACCAGAGTGCATGGCTGCTGTTACCTATATTGTCCTGTATCTGTGTGTTCACTGTGATGAAACCTAATAGAGTTTATCCCCCCAACTGTAGAGCAGCAGCTGTGTACCTTATTCCCCTCAGATGAAGGCCTGACTATTGACCTGAAGAATTTCCGGAAACCTGGTGAAAAGACCTTCACCCAAAGAAGCCGCCTGTTTGTGGGGAATCTGCCCCCAGATATTACAGAGGAAGAGATGAGAAAGTTATTTGAGAAGTATGGCAAGGCAGGTGAAGTCTTCATACACAAGGACAAAGGCTTTGGCTTTATCAGGCTGGTGAGTGAATTGCTACCTTTGGGGTGTTTTTGTGGCAATGACTCGCACTGGAGGAGTGTTGCTAATTGGAAGCAGTAGATGTTCAGGTATCTTGCTAATTAAGCCTGATGTTGATTTTAGTAATGTGGAATGTAGGATCAGCTTCTACAAGTGATTTGTCTAGAGCTTATTAGGAGAGAAGGAATGTGAATTCAGGCAGCTTGTGGCAGCATTTATGAGATACCTGATAAA